TATATATATATATATATATATATGTGTGTGTGTGTATTATTATTATTTATGATAATAATAATAATTATTATTTTGTGTGTGTGGCTAAGGGGGGGCACATGTGATAATTGATTGATAATAATTGTTTACGTTAATATAATAATTTATACTTTTGACTCATCTATTTTCTTTAAAACGAGTTTAAAGGCTGAAATGTGAAGTTTATCATTTTATAAAACTTTTTGTTTTTGTGAAAACCTGTACCTGAACTGTAAATCATGATTTTTACAGTTATTTATACAGTTTAATTTGTGACATTGCCCTACCCCGCTAATATAGTATTATTTTATTTGTGCAGGTCTTAAAAAGTCTTACATTTCATCTTAAAATCCTGCAGATACCCTGGATTAAATTCAGTTTTAGTTTTTATTTATTCCAGTTAGTAATTGTAGTGATTCAACTTAAACTTATTTCAGTTTGTTGCTAAGGCAACATTTTGTTTAGTTTTAGTTTTTAGTCTTTCATCTAATATTTGTATTTCATTTCAGCTTATTTCTATTAACAAGATTGTTTTAGTATTGAAGTTTAAATCTCATGTATCCTTTCAGGAGCACGTCCAAGTCATAGTTCTCCTCAAAATCAAAAGAAAATGTACAGTAGTTTGTAGCAAATGAAGTGTCTGAAGAACAGTTGTATCTTCAGGCGTTTCTTGAAAAGAAACCTAAATACACGCTGTCTGAACACTGAAATCTGAATGTCAGCGCTGCTCTCTGATGTGTATGTCTCAAAGCTGGTGATGATGCCAAGATCCGCGTGTGGCAGATTCCCAAAGGAGGCCTGACGGAAACCCTGACTGAGCCGGAGTGTGTTCTGCGAGGTAAGAAGCCGGCACATGTGACTTCTGAACTGTAATAGCAGTATTTTGGTAGTGTTTTATTGACATGAACCTTGACCAATGACAGGACACACGGAGAAGATTTACTCTATCAAGTTCCATCCCCACGCGTCCAGCCTGCTGGCTTCCTCCTCCTACGACCTCACGGTGAGACTGTGGAACCTGGAGACAGGAGAGGAAGTCAAACGACTCAGCGGACATCAGGACCAGGTCTGTCTGTCTATCTGTCTATGTGTCTGTCATTTTATCTATCTGTCTGTTTGTCTGTCTTGTCTAACTGTCTTTGACTTTGTAGATATCAAGCCAACTCACTGTTTTCTCTCTTAGATATTTGGCATGGCTTGGAGTCCAGACGGGAAACTGCTGGCCACTGTGTGTAAGGACGGAAAAGTGCG